CCGGCCTGGCTTAGCCCTTGAGGACCGCGTCCGGCCCGTGCTCCACCTCCCGCAGGTCGCCGAGCAGGGGCAGCGCCCAGTGGCTCTGCCCCCCCCGCTCGCACGCGCTGATGCCCGCGCTGTAGCTGACGCTGGTCGGGCTCAGCCGGGAGGCCCGCAGCTCCCGGAGCAGCCACAGCGCGTGCTGCCACTGCCCGCCCTTCTCGCACGCGCTGATGCCCGCGTTGTATGTGATGTGTGAAGGAGGCCCGAGACACGCACATCCGCCGATCCGGCGTGAGAGTTTCGGAGAGCGTGGGCTTGAGCTCGCTTTATGATGGCAGCGGCCTCCTCCAGGAGGGGTATGTAGGTTTTGCTGGAAAGTGTAGTCAAGAGTGTCAAAACAGTCTGCAGGCCGCGGCGCTCAGGAGTCTCAAAACAGTGTCGCGGCGACACTGTCGCGCAAAAAAAAACGCAGGCCGCTCAGGCGACACTCGGCGCTGCCACGCCGCGCGCAATTTCGCAAACACGCCCCGCCGAGTGGGCGGTGGGCTGGGGGCAGAGCACCCGTGCCGCGCGCTGCCGAACCAACGCGCGGCACATCAGGAAGCCAACGCGAGGCGCAAGAACCTGCGCAAGGGGGGCACCCACGGACGCGAGCTCGCGCTCGGGTCACGCGCAGGCCGCTTTGGAGCCAGGCGGCCTTGAGCCAAAATGGCCACGGACGGAGTGGAGGGGGATGGATGAGGAGGGAGGGGCGGGGGCAGCGGGGTGGTCTGGGGAGGGGGGGTGCGAGGGCATAGCGGCGGAGCCCCATAGGGAGTTCCATCGGAGGCCCCATTGCCAGCGGTCGCATTCGGTCCGAGGGTCCACTTCGGCGCGCTCACACGTTCCGCGCCTTCATAGAGAGCTCCACCGAAGGCGCCAGCGGCAGCGGTTGCCTGCGGCCCGAGGGCCCACTCGGACACGCGCTGGTTTTCGGAATCGCGCTCTCGCCTTAGGCACCTTCGCACCGCGGGCTCCTGGCGGGAAAAAGCGTCGGCCCACTCGGAATGAGAGGGGGTGGGGAGTAAGAGGGGGGGTTCGGCGGCGGCGACGGCGGCGGCGACGACGGCGGCGACGGCCGCTCGGGTGCCCCCCCCCGCTGGCGCGGCGGCGCCCTCGGGCCGCCCGTGGCGGCCTGCCCCCTCGGGTGGCCGCGGGCGGGGCGGGAAGCAGGAGGCAAGAGGGGGGGAGAAGGGGGGGGAGAGGAGGGGGGAGGGAGGGGGGGGAGGAGGCGGGGGGGCTAAGGTCGCGTGCCAACTCACGATGAAAACAGACGAGATGGAGAACAAGAACTAATGGCTCTCAGACCGATGCAAAGAACTCAACGAACAAAAACATCACCTCCTTGCCATTGTACATTGTAACAATGACAAGGAGGCGGACAGGAAAGCCAGAAAGGCCTCGAGGAAGGAGCATAAGGAGAAATATCGTGAGGCCTCGGAGGGGGAGAAACGCAACGCTGCCAATAATGAGCAAGAAAACGGAGCGCACGGGCCCCAGGGTAAGCAAAGTTGGGGGAAGAGAAAGGTGAGGAGGGGGAGAGGATGAGGAGGGGGAGGAGCAGAAGGGGGAGGAGGAAGAGGGAGGGGGATGGGGAAGGGGAGGGACATGGGGGCGAAGGGGAGAGGGGTGAGGGAAGGGGTGAGGAGGGAAAAGGGAGAGGGGGGCGGGGCGGACGAAGGGAGGCGGGAGAAGGGAAAGGAGAGGCCCCGCCGTCATCACGCCTCGTTCCATTTTCTCATTCCACCATCCTTCCTTCTCCTCCCTTCCGTCTCTGTTCCACTCCTCCGCCTCCTTCTCCTCCTCCTCCTCCGCCCTCCCCTTCCCCGCCGCCTCGACGCGGCTGACTTCGCCCTCTGGCGATGCCAGGGGCGTCGGACGCAGCCGCGGGGGCACCCCGTCGGCCCGTCGGGCCCCTCTGACTCTGTCGGGCGCGGAGGGGGGGTAGGTGGCGACGGCTCGAGATCCGCGGGGGCGGGGAGCGGGGGGCAAGGGTTAGGCCGGTGGGGGATCGGGGGGGTGGGGTGGGCGGAAGAGTGGGGAAGAGAAATGCGCACCCCCGCCACACGTGTTTTTCTCCTCTGGCCTAGAGAGCTGGAGATACCGCGCCCTGACTGAGTCCAGTCAGGCCCCGATGCGGACCGACTCGCAACTCGTAACTGTCAGCCCGCATGCTGTCTGCGGGCTGGGACCTGGGCCGAGCTTGTGCGTGCGTGTGTGTGTGTGTGGTGTGTGTGTGTGTGTGTGTGTGTGTGTGTGTGTGTGTGCGTGCGTGCGTACGTGTGTGTGTGTGTGTGTGTTTGTTTGTGTGTGTACCTCTCTGTCGTGCTGCGTGCTTGCGCGCTGCGGGAGAGGGTGCTGCAGTGTTTTCTACACGCGCACCCAGCACCCGTGCTGACATGCACGCGCGGCGTCTGCGTGCGCTCGCTGCGCGCCGAACGCCAAAATGGCAGCTCGTTTCACCGCGCCACTCGGTCCCAGGCAACCTAACTACACATTAATTTTGACTTGCATGGCCAGCTGCACCCGCGCCAACAGGGTTGGATGCAAACGGTCCTGCGAAATGCCACGCTCCTTGAGGGCGCTCGTCGTCTTTACGATCGTAGCCCTCAGCAACTGCTTGTCAGTCGCTTTCTTAAAAGCCATGAACAAACTGCCTGTCACAAGAGTCACCCACGCGTTGGTGATGATCTCTGACACCTTCTGGTAGTTCTGACCCCCCTCGATGCGCAATCCGTATTTCTCACCCTCGGACTCCCAGCGGGCCAGCGCCTTCCAAGAGGGAGGTGAAGGAGGGAAGGCCATGCAGCGGTATCTTAGGCTAACTGGTGCGCGGCTTTCCTTCTTTCACCTTCCTCCTCGAAACCCATCTGCGACCCACTGAACAACTTAAGAAACAAACGCAAAGATACGTCGGGCGTGAGCCCGCGCACGTTTGCACCAACATAACTGGGGGGGGGGCGCGCAGCCGCCTTCTCGGCAGCGTCCACATTCTTCTTCAAGGGGGCGATGGTCTTGCTCATCTCCGTG